GAGCCTCAGCCACACTCACATAGGGTGCCGATGGCCGTTGACTTTCAATCTCGAAATGTGTGCACACGGGCACGCAAACCGAGGTAATGGTATATGCAGTGAAAATGAGATGCCTCGAAATGCGTGCACATGGGCACGCAAACCGAGGCAATAACAGATGCAATGCAAATGAGGTGCCTCGAAGTACGTGCACACGGGCACGCAAACCGAGGCGATGACAGATGTAATGAAGATGAGATGCCTCGAAGTACGTGCACGCGGGCACGCAAACCGAGGCGGTGCTAAAGTGACATGGAAATGACAAATGGGCTTATACCAACATGAGTGAGCCTCAGCCACACTCACATAGGATGCCGTCGGATAAAAATGAGGTGCCTCGAAATGCGTGCACACGGGCACGCAAACCGAGGCAATGCAAAAATGCAATGGATCATGGCAAAAATGATATGCAAACATGCCAATGGAATTTCAGCAACAAAATATGGGGGAAAACAGTCCCGAAATGAAGTGAAATGACATGAAATGCCAGGAAATGACCCGAAATGCGACATTAGGCATCCGAAATGGCCTGTAGCCATACTAAACATGCACAACATGGACATGCAATGCAAAGACAGAAGCTAGACAGTCCCAAAATAAGCACTTTTCCAGTTATAAACATGGCCAAACAGCAAGTATAGGTATGGAGAAAATAGCATGCAAGAATAGGGGCCAAAAGAGGGGTAATGAAGCAAGTGGTATAAGCAAAACTCAAACTGAAAATTTTCCTTATACAACACTGAAGATGGACCAAAAATATGAACATTTACAGTATATGGCAGCCTCAAAATCAGTATAAAAACATGCTAAAAATATGGTGCAAAATAAGGCTCAAAAGGTGCTAAAACATGAAGTGTATAAAATAATCACCAAACAGAAAAAAAGTGTGAATGAAACATGAAGTATAGGCCAAAATAAGACCACTTTCAGTTCGGACCAAGGTCCAAAAACAGAAGCAAAGAGGGCTATTAATTTATGCAAAAATGGGGCTAAATAGGGGATATAACTACAAGTGACATATGGAAACACCAAACAATGTTGAGCCCTTCTCCAATGTTGAAGAGGGGCTCAAAATATGCCTCATATCAGTTTACAACATGCTCGAAAATAAATTTCTCATGGGTCAAAAATAGCATGCAAAATTATGACATACAACATGGTCAATGAAGCAAGTATATTATGGAGGGCTCAAACAAGGTTGAGCCCTTAATGAGAAATGAATATGAGCTCAAAATATGGCCCTTTTTAGTTAGGGCCGAAGCTTGAAACCAAAAATAAATGAGGCTTAGAAATAGATAGTATGATATTTGTAAATGTGATTGATATGACACGACTGTGTATGATGGACCCAAGGTTGTTCTGTACATCTAAATTGGACCTGAGGTCATTTCGTACATTTGATAAAATGGACCCAAGGTCATTCTGAACATCTGATAAGTTTGGTTATCTATTATGAGTTAATCAAATAGATTTTACACAGCTGTAAATGATTAGACCTGAGGTCGTTCCGTTATGATATGATCAACTCCACTCTGTACATCTATTATACGTTAGACCTGAGGTCGTTCTATTATCTGTTGGACCCACGATCTTTCCGTTATGAAATGCTTATGATACAAAAATGTTTATATCATTTACTAGATCTCATTCACATAAACCGTTTACTCTAATGTTATTCACTAGGTGTTAGCTCACACTATTTATATATATATATGTATGTAGGTGAGCAGCAAGATGTCTAACTCCAGCCTTAGTGAACCTGATAAAGATACTAAGTTTTGAGGAGTCTATTTTGAACGCCTCACGAACGAGGCTTTTGTACTTCTATTCTTTTGTCTTTTCAATTTTCATTTCTTTCTTTTGTTGGTCACACCTGACCATTTTAGTGTATAAGTTTTGGTTAATGTGCCAGTGAGGTTTGAAAGATCTTGAACACATGGAATCTTATTATGAATGTGCAAGTGTGAGTTATTAACATATGAGAAGTTTTCTATTTATGCCATTTATGCACAGCTCATTAGATAAATTTTATAATTCTACTTCCCATCTAGCCCCCTTATTATTGACTATGTCTGTAATCTGTCTGAGGCTGTAGGTAATCTCATGATTGCTGGCCGGTTATGATCCAAACCTCTAGGGGCAAGTTAGGGTCATGACACATGGCATTGAGGACAACAATTTGAGGGTGACCTTGGTGTCCTTCCAACTAAAGGGAGATGCAAGTCAATGGTGGAAGTATCCGCAAGGGCATATTGGGGTGACTTAGGAGGCCATTGTCAACGCATTCCAAGATATTTTTTTGCCACCCACTACTAGGGAGAAGTTGAGGAATCTGTTTCTAAAGCTCAAGTAGTTGAACACGCCGGTAGCTGAGTTTGGCATCACTTTCACTGGTTTGTTGACGTTTATGCCGAAACTTCTAGCGACAGAAAAACGCCGTTGCATCGAGTTTGAGAATAGGTTGAGAACGAGACTCCTTTTCATGGTGGATGGGTCAATGATTAGGGATTATGACCATTTCGTGGAATCAACGGCCCACTTAGAGATGGTGATCCGAGCAGATAAGGAGTCGAGAAGGGGCTCTAGGCAAAGGTTCTAGGATGTTCTAGGGGATGCAAGGGATTACAAACAGTAAAAGGATTTCACCCCACAGTAGTCCCAGGTGACATGGTTCAGATCCACCTTTCTCATACCGAGTTCAAGTTTAGGAAGAGGGAATCATGGTGGGTTCACTTGCTTCAAATATGGTCAGTTGGACCACAAGTCTTTAGTTTTCCTGCAGAGAGGAGGAGGGCAACAGTTTGCACCATCTTCAGCTCGTCCTCAAAGCCATAGTCAAAGGAGAGGTCAGCCACCTACCTGTTATCAATGTGGGTAGTTATAATATGCCCAGGGGTACTCATGCGGTTAAACAATTCGGACCCTCTATTTCTTCGATCTAGTCTCACGAGTGCAATGTGAAACATAGATGAGAGTCCAGATTTGAAAACTTTTATAGAAATTCATTTTATTGGAAAAAAAATCTTTGCTAGGAATGGACTGCATCATTAGATCTCAGAGTCGCCACCTAATTTTGGAAAAATTAGGAAACTCGTGACTCATGCCAAGGTTAATGTTTGTCGTAACCAAGAATGCTTGGCTCAGAACCTCAGGTATGAAGGTGGAAGGTCATTTATTGAGAACCCCCGCTCACCCGATCAAAAGAATGGCCTCTACTAAGCTATGATATGATTTTTATTAACTTTATATGTTCATATTCCGGTTATTTAATTATCCTAAAATTTACTATGTGAAGTAAACAAATATAGACTGTGTCGTCGATTTTGGAACATATTGATTTCATTATCTTGAAAATATTTTGAATAGTGCAATCATGAAAATCAATTTTATTCCAAATTAAATAGCACAACCTTCATCCACTGGTATGCATAGAGTCATATCAAATAAGCACATAGCCACATGGTTAGGATGCTAAATATAGTAAGAAAATCACACACAGACAGGATATTAAAGCACAAAGACTTACATATTTACTTGCACTCTGCAAATAGGCACAAAAACAAAATTAGTAAACATGCATGATTCTATATACAAGATCCTAATGCAATTCACTCATGAAATGCAACTACATATCAGGCTTCTAATATATGATATGTGAATCATCTCAAAACATGAGGCAGCGCACAAAATCACATAATGAATGATTAAATCCACATATGCAAATTTAGCCGGATCTTAAGGCATAAAACATGGATGCAAAGCATGGACATGATGACAAGCATGAGATACTACATATTTACAGAATATGGAGAGCAAATGAAAGAACGAAATAAAAAGAAGCGGGGATGGAGAATTATTACATCGCTTTGAAATATTACAAATCCGAATAAGGGAGGAGAGGAAAAATATTACAACAAAATTAAATCCTCACAAACACTCTCTAATTAAAAAAAAATAAAAACAGAAACTGCAGGGGGCTTCAGAGACCGTTAGAGACTGTTCCGCTCGACACCAAGAGGCTGCTAGGTTCTGTCCAGGAGAAAGTGGCTGGCTAGCTAAAAAATGAGCTGGCTGTCCAAAAAGTTGGCCGGCCGGCCGGCCAAAAAAATGGCCGACTGAAAACTTTGTTTTGTTTGAACACCAGAAAAACAAACAGAAAATATGCAAGTGGCTCAACTAACCACTTCCAGTTAACTTACAATAGATTTATAACATGAAATTGAAGCAAGAAAAACAATATAAGAAATAAAATGCAAGAAAAGTAAAAAAAAAAATGATAAGTGTGCAAAATTTACCTTTCAAGGAAGAATTTGATTTCTAAACTTCCTTTTAATCACCCTCAAATTTAGGAAGTGTGTTCTCAATTCTCAAGCAAAAAATTTGAAATTCTAGTTTGAATGGTGTTTTGGGCTATTTAACTGTTTGTGTGGGGAGAGTTATTCCAACACTTTGTTTTTCTCTCAATTTTAACAACACTCACTCTCTTTTTTATCAAGGCTCAAGAATATGACTATAACAAAATTTATGGGCTTGGTTTGATATATTGAAATATGGTATATCAGTGTGTCTCTAAGCTTATAGCTAAATGTTCAAGATTTTTCTCTTTCTCTCTCTAACTTTCAATTCACTCTCTCAATTCAATTTCCTTCTTCTCTTGATACATACATTCTGATCCTCTCCATATAAACAATCAGTGAATGCAAAGTCAAGAAGGTGGGAGACAAGTTTGACGGGATGATATGGGTGATTGCATTGGATGCCCACTTTTAGGAAGATGACAAACTCCCTTTTGACAATGGAGGCCAAAGGATGATAATGGAGAGGGTGGGTGTGTACCTCGTACATGAATATAACAAGAAAAGATCTGAAATGGTTTGACCCACATGCATTCAATAAGAATTCTACCGAAACTACCTTGCTCCTAGGCAAATTAGCCGGTCGCCCAAAAACTTGGCTTGGCCGGCCGGCCGATTAATTTGGCTGGCCGACGAATATAGGCTCTAGCTAACTGTTTTGCATGAAACATGATTTTTCAATAGCATCCTCATCATTTTCTCCTATTTTCACACTGTTCTTTGCTCAATTTCCTAAGAAAATGTTTCATTTTGAAGTTTAAAAGCAAGCCTCCGAATACTATGAAAATATTCGGAACAATGCGCAGAAATAAAGTTTTGAACGGGATTTGAACACTTGGCCAAAACAGTTTTACGTTTGGAAATGAAGCACAAATTTCATCTTTCTTATTGAGAATTTTATGAGAAAAACATTCTTATTTTCATTATCGAGTAATCAAAAGAAAGTGCCCAAGTCTTAGAGCCAGTCAAAATAGGATGCCTACAATTGTCCCTTTTTGACAGAACTCGAAGTCATTTCTTGACGTGAATGATGTCAAAGCCCGAAGACGACTCTTTTGACAAGGCTGTAAGACTTGGGCAAACAAACAAGATACAGATGCAGTTGGTTAAACCCGAAGTTCAAGGACAAGGACAAAATGCAAATGACAAAATGCACGAAATCAAACCAGCGTAGTTCCCCTTGCACAAAATCAAACCAGCGTAGTTCAAGGACAAAATGCAAATGACATGCTTGAGATACAATTGAAAGTTAGACTTACATGCTTCATGAAGCCATTTTTGTTTTAAAAATTCACGATCTATGATGCAATGCAACAGGTAATATGAAACATAACAAGGGATACAATTCAAACACATTTACATAAGAGAACGAAATGTAACCGATGAATAGTTTTAACCTATAACCTAAACAAGGGAGGTATTAATCGATGGATAGTCTCAACTAACAACCCAAGAAAATGGAGGTTTAGCCAATGGTGGTTTGAACTATTAACAACCCGAGAAAGGGATAGTATCGTCATCCTGAAAAGGTGCCAGCATAAACCAAGTGGTTTGAACCTATAACCCAAAAAGGGGGCAAACAATAACTGATGAAAAATGTTGTAATCAAATGTTGATGTGAATAAATTATAGCCAAGTGATGCAACAGTGTAACCATGCAAATGATATGCTAATGCAATTGAAAGTTGAATTTTTTTTCTTTTCTTTTTTTGTGTGCAATGCAATATGTAATATATGATAGGTGGTGAGGCAAGCCTCATGCAAATGAAGCAAAACAAAGGGACACAATCCAAACACACCCACATGAAAGAAGAAAATGTAATTGATGAATAGTTTGAACCTACAACCCAAGAAAATTGAGGTATTAACCAATGGTGGTTTGAACTGTCAACAACCCGAGAAAGGGATAGTATCGTCATCCTAAAAAGGGGCAGCATAAACCAAGTGATTTGAACCTATAACCCAAAAAAAGGGGCCAACAATAACTGATCAAAAAGGTTGTATCAAATGTTGATGTGAATGGATTGTAACCATGCACGATAAATGTAACAGACAGTGCAAGTGTAATGGTGAATGCAAAAAAAAACACAAAAGGACAATGTGAGACATACAATATGCAATGTGATGAATGCACAACAAAAAGATGATGGATGCACGACAGATGAATATACAAAAAAAGATTTTGCTGTTCTCAAATTTTATTTTATTTTTTTGTAAATTCTTTTTGATTTTCTAAAAATTTCTTTTTCAGATTTTCTTTGAAAATCTATATACATACCATATATACATATACGGATACAAAAATAAAAAATACGTATTACATACATATGTATACATATGAAATATATACATACAGATATATATATATATATATATTTGTAAAATTTCTATATGTTGCATTTTTTTGAACCTATCTGTTCAAATTCTCTTTCTCTCTCTACAAATCCCACTATCTGCTAAAGTCTCTCTCTCTCTCTCTCTCTCTCTCTACCCCATTCGTCTTTCGTCAAGCACTGTGTCTGGCACACGATTTCAACAATCACGGCACGCCTGACCGACAGCAGTTGGATCGGCCTCGTTTGTCAAAGATTGCCTCAACAACCTCTATTCTCTTGGCCTCTTCTTATTCTCCAACTTCTTCTTAAACCAATGCCTACGAGAGAGCAAGGCAAAAAGCTGCAAACTTCCCTTGTCATTACTCTGTCAATTCTCTCTTTGGAGGCATTACTCTCCTCTGATATGGCCTCTTCTCGCTGTCATTTTTCCCTTTTCCCAGACCTTAACACTTCCCCAATGGAAAATGCTGAGGTCAGCTCCTTTGAGCCTCAAAAGAGTGCCCCTGCCCTTACCCATGTTCTCAACTTTCCCGCGTTGTCAGTTGAGTAAACAATGGCATCGCAGTCTGATATCGATGCCACCAATTTCACATTGAAGTCCTATGTGGAGACAGTGACCACGGTCTACAACTTGTTCCACCAGCTGCAGAACAAGACAAGTGAAGTACACAGATTAAACGCCTAACTCTCTCTACTCCAAAGTATGTACAAGGATGCTCAAGCAGAGATTAATGCACTGAAAAAGTGTAACAAAGAGTTAAAACGACGAGCCAACTCCATGGCTCGATTCGGAGTTCCTTTATACTCTGCATTTGACGGCCGACAGGGAGTAATTTATTTCAAAAGCTCTGCCAATGCCGAGGCAGAGTCTTCAAAGGCCTCCCGAGAGTGATGTTGTGGTGAGGCAGCTGACGGTAGAGTCAAGCGACGAAGTTGTCTACAAATGATACGATTTGTATCTTCGCCGCCAGGCTGCTACCAAAAATCGAGAAAATATCCCTCTGTTTTTTTCTTTTCCAATTTTTTTTCTTTTTCGTTCTCTTTTCTTTTGTTTTTCTTTTTTGTTTTTACTTAGGAAGGAGCACCAACGCTTCAAATGATTTCTCTTCTTTTGTTTGTATTTTCTCTTCTTTTTTTCTTTGTAATGTTGATTGGGGCTTCACCTTAAAATTTACTAGAATGAGTTTTGCAACAACCGAGATCCATGATTAACATTAATCCATGGTTAATTATGCCTAATAAGTAATTAAAGTGAAATTTTGTATCATATGTTGCCTTATTTGTGTTTATATCTGTTTTATATAGAAAGATCTGTTCATGTTTTCGTTTCGATTTGCGAATTAAAGGCCTTATCGGCATCCGATTCAGAAATTGACTTGATTTATGTGTTAATTGCATCATAAAAAGTCATTGCCCACTCGTTCACATTTGCAAGTGGTGCAGAAGAGAACAAGCTAGAGAATCCCAATGGAGAGGTGGAGAAGAAGGAAATTGCTCCAGGGGAGAACAAGAGCGCAAAAAAGAAGAAAAAGAAGGATAAGTCTTCAAAGGAGGCTCTAGAACAGCAGGATGAACCCAATGGTGCGGACACCACAAATGGAACCGATGAGGCAGCCGGAACTGAGAAAGCTGAAGATACGTCTATCGATGTGAAAGAGAAGGTAAAGAAAGTGGCATCCATGAAGAAGAAAAAATCGAGCAAGGAAATGGATGCTGCTGCAAGAGCTGCTGCTAATGAGGCTGCTGCAAGGAATGCAAAGCTTGCTGCTGCAAAGAAAAAGGTGAAGGACCACTACAACCAGCAGCCGGTCCGGTAAGGACATTTCAGACATTTTGTGGAGTTGGGTATGGGCATGTATCCTTTTGTTCATTTGGTAAATGCAAAATAAACATTAGAATCTCTTCAATAGTTCTTTTTTTGGGTTTTACTTGAGGTGAACAAAAAGAGTTATGGATTTGAAAGAATAGGGTTGTTGGATCTCTTCAATATTTTTCCGTTTCTTTTTCGTTTTTTTTCTTTTCATCCAGTGGACAGTTCTGCTGATGTATAATTTTGTGGATGTTAATCAACTCTAGTTTTTTTGTCCTTTCATTAAATTATCAATTTTCATGTCGTTTATTTCTTATGAGTGCAAAAGAGTGGGGCTAAACACTATTTGATGTTGTGGTTATGTGAATCAAAAATGATTGAGAGCTCTAATAAAGGAACTCTAATGAGTTCTAATAGGGGTGGGCCCTATAGTGATAGTGATATTTGTGTCTTGTTTTTTGGTTTTTGTTTTTTCATTGCCAAGTGTATAGAGCTCTATTTAGAGCTCTATTTTTAGAGGATGTATCATTGCTCACATAATTGCATGTTTTGCTTCGGATTAGAGTTGTGTGCAAGTAGTGCAAGAGTTTTTTGTTCCACTTGGGTCTATGCCTGTGTAATTGTGAAAGAAAAGACTTTTTTTTTTTTTTTGTGTGGGTATTTTTATGTTTTTTTGGGCTAGTTATCTGGGATTATTGGTTTGTAATCTTCATTAATCCACCAGCAAAATATAGTTTTGTTTTGGGTAGCATTTTTAAGTAAAATGAAGAAAAATATTTCCATGAATCATATCCATATTGCTTTGCCTTGGCTGATAAAGAAATGGCAATTTCATGAAGATCACTAAACCTTTTCCATCTCCATAATGTCCTCGGGCAGGGCTACACCTTAATAAGAGCAGAAAAACTCACTCCATTGTTTGTGTGATTTTGCTTTAAACTTGATTAATTACAAAATTTATTTCTGAAATGCGAATTGTTTTGAACTTACTTCACAAAACATGGGTTACAGAAATTAGTAAAAAATTTGTTGGGTTCTACTTTATAAATTTGTTCTAAAATAGCATGGATTCAGAATACATGTATATATCAAGTATGATGAACCCAATCAAATCATCATGTCCGATAAAGAAGCTTGACTTGACCTAATTAGAAAAACAAAACATGGGTTATAGAAATAAGTAAACAAAAATGTTGGGTTTTACTTTGTAAATTTGTCCTAAAATAGCATGGATTCAGAATACATGTATATATCAAGTATGATGAACCCAATCAAATCATCATGTCCGATAAAGAAGCTTGACTTGACCTAATTAGAAAAACAAAACATGGGTTATAGAAATAAGTAAACAAAAATGTTGGGTTTTACTTTGTAAATTTGTCCTAAAATAGCATGGATTCAGAATACATGTATATATCAAGTATGATGAACCCAATCAAATCATCATGTCCGATAAAGAAGCTTGACTTGACCTAATTAGAAAAACAAAACATGGGTTATAGAAATAAGTAAACAAAAATGTTGGGTTTTACTTTGTAAATTTGTCCTAAAATAGCATGGATTCAGAATACATGTATATATCAAGTATGATGAACCCAATCAAATCATCATGTCCGATAAAGAAGCTTGACTTGACCTAATTAGAAAAACAAAACATGGGTTATAGAAATAAGTAAACAAAAATGTTGGGTTTTACTTTGTAAATTTGTCCTAAAATAGCATGGATTCAGAATACATGTATATATCAAGTATGATGAACCCAATCAAATCATCATGTCCGATAAAGAAGCTTGACTTGACCTAATTAGAAAAACAAAACATGGGTTATAGAAATAAGTAAACAAAAATGTTGGGTTTTACTTTGTAAATTTGTCCTAAAATAGCATGGATTCAGAATACATGTATATATCAAGTATGATGAACCCAATCAAATCATCATGTCCGATAAAGAAGCTTGACTTGACCTAATTAGAAAAACAAAACATGGGTTATAGAAATAAGTAAACAAAAATGTTGGGTTTTACTTTGTAAATTTGTCCTAAAATAGCATGGATTCAGAATACATGTATATATCAAGTATGATGAACCCAATCAAATCATCATGTCCGATAAAGAAGCTTGACTTGACCTAATTAGAAAAACAAAACATGGGTTATAGAAATAAGTAAACAAAAATGTTGGGTTTTACTTTGTAAATTTGTTCTAAAATAGCATGGATTCAGAATACATGTATATATCAAGTATGATGAACCCAATCAAATCATCATGTCCGATAAAGAAGCTTGACTTGACCTAATTAGAAAAACAAAACATGGGTTATAGAAATAAGTAAACAAAAATGTTGGGTTTTACTTTGTAAATTTGTTCTAAAATAGCATGGATTCAGAATACATGTATATATCAAGTATGATGAACCCAATCAAATCATCATGTCCGATAAAGAAGCTTGACTTGACCTAATTAGAAAAACAAAACATGGGTTATAGAAATAAGTAAACAAAAATGTTGGGTTTTACTTTGTAAATTTGTTCTAAAATAGCATGGATTCAGAATACATGTATATATCAAGTATGATGAACCCAATCAAATCATCATGTCCGATAAAGAAGCTTGACTTGACCTAATTAGAAAAACAAAACATGGGTTATAGAAATAAGTAAACAAAAATGTTGGGTTTTACTTTGTAAATTTGTTCTAAAATAGCATGGATTCAGAATACATGTATATATCAAGTATGATGAACCCAATCAAATCATCATGTCCGATAAAGAAGCTTGACTTGACCTAATTAGAAAAACAAAACATGGGTTATAGAAATAAGTAAACAAAAATGTTGGGTTTTACTTTGTAAATTTGTTCTAAAATAGCATGGATTCAGAATACATGTATATATCAAGTATGATGAACCCAATCAAATCATCATGTCCGATAAAGAAGCTTGACTTGACCTAATTAGAAAAACAAAACATGGGTTATAGAAATAAGTAAACAAAAATGTTGGGTTTTACTTTGTAAATTTGTTCTAAAATAGCATGGATTCAGAATACATGTATATATCAAGTATGATGAACCCAATCAAATCATCATGTCCGATAAAGAAGCTTGACTTGACCTAATTAGAAAAACAAAACATGGGTTATAGAAATAAGTAAACAAAAATGTTGGGTTTTACTTTGTAAATTTGTTCTAAAATAGCATGGATTCAGAATACATGTATATATCAAGTATGATGAACCCAATCAAATCATCATGTCCGATAAAGAAGCTTGACTTGACCTAATTAGAAAAACAAAACATGGGTTATAGAAATAAGTAAACAAAAATGTTGGGTTTTACTTTGTAAATTTGTTCTAAAATAGCATGGATTCAGAATACATGTATATATCAAGTATGATGAACCCAATCAAATCATCATGTCCGATAAAGAAGCTTGACTTGACCTAATTAGAAAAACAAAACATGGGTTATAGAAATAAGTAAACAAAAATGTTGGGTTTTACTTTGTAAATTTGTTCTAAAATAGCATGGATTCAGAATACATGTATATATCAAGTATGATGAACCCAATCAAATCATCATGTCCGATAAAGAAGCTTGACTTGACCTAATTAGAAAAACAAAACATGGGTTATAGAAATAAGTAAACAAAAATGTTGGGTTTTACTTTGTAAATTTGTTCTAAAATAGCATGGATTCAGAATACATGTATATATCAAGTATGATGAACCCAATCAAATCATCATGTCCGATAAAGAAGCTTGACTTGACCTAATTAGAAAAACAAAACATGGGTTATAGAAATAAGTAAACAAAAATGTTGGGTTTTACTTTGTAAATTTGTTCTAAAATAGCATGGATTCAGAATACATGTATATATCAAGTATGATGAACCCAATCAAATCATCATGTCCGATAAAGAAGCTTGACTTGACCTAATTAGAAAAACAAAACATGGGTTATAGAAATAAGTAAACAAAAATGTTGGGTTTTACTTTGTAAATTTGTTCTAAAATAGCATGGATTCAGAATACATGTATATATCAAGTATGATGAACCCAATCAAATCATCATGTCCGATAAAGAAGCTTGACTTGACCTAATTAGAAAAACAAAACATGGGTTATAGAAATAAGTAAACAAAAATGTTGGGTTTTACTTTGTAAATTTGTTCTAAAATAGCATGGATTCAGAATACATGTATATATCAAGTATGATGAACCCAATCAAATCATCATGTCCGATAAAGAAGCTTGACTTGACCTAATTAGAAAAACAAAACATGGGTTATAGAAATAAGTAAACAAAAATGTTGGGTTTTACTTTGTAAATTTGTTCTAAAATAGCATGGATTCAGAATACATGTATATATCAAGTATGATGAACCCAATCAAATCATCATGTCCGATAAAGAAGCTTGACTTGACCTAATTAGAAAAACAAAACATGGGTTATAGAAATAAGTAAACAAAAATGTTGGGTTTTACTTTGTAAATTTGTTCTAAAATAGCATGGATTCAGAATACATGTATATATCAAGTATGATGAACCCAATCAAATCATCATGTCCGATAAAGAAGCTTGACTTGACCTAATTAGAAAAACAAAACATGGGTTATAGAAATAAGTAAACAAAAATGTTGGGTTTTACTTTGTAAATTTGTTCTAAAATAGCATGGATTCAGAATACATGTATATATCAAGTATGATGAACCCAATCAAATCATCATGTCCGATAAAGAAGCTTGACTTGACCTAATTAGAAAAACAAAACATGGGTTATAGAAATAAGTAAACAAAAATGTTGGGTAAATACATGAATGCTGAGGATTCCCTAGCCGCCCAGCAAGATCCAACAACCAAAAACCCAACCCCCAGAAAAAAGAGAAAAGACTCAGAACCCAGAAACACTCAGTATAATAGCCAAGCACCGCACTATACCGACCGACCCCCTCGAACAGACCGGTCGGCACTAGCTCGACCGCCCGGTCGATTCGAGCAGTACACACCTCTTAATTCCCCCATGGAACAAGTCCTCAACCAGATCCAGCGAGACTACCCCCTCAAATGGCCCCAACCTTCACGAACCCCTTCCAATCGGAAAGACCAATCCAAATATTGCAGTTTTCACCAGGACCATGGCCATAACGCCGATGAGTGCGTTAACCTTAAGGATCAGGTCGAGACCCTAATACGTCAGGGATGTCTTAGCCAATTC